ATATGTGAATCCAATTTTTTTTCAATTTTTAACTACATTTTCAAAAAAATCATAATTTCAAAATATATTTTCCTCAAAAAAAAAAAAAGGAGCTCAAACAGGCACTGATCATGAGTGAATGATTTCTAAGGTAAAAAATGAGCTGCCTAAAATAGGGAAATTATTGGAAAATAAAATTAGAATCTGTTTGGTTGTAGTGTTAGATACCTAATTGCTCTATTTTACAAATATTAGGGATCCTGTTTGTAATTTTCCCATTCCTTAATTTACCCCGCCACAGCGACAAATTCCAATTTCAGACTATAAAACCCTAGTCAATATTTTACTTTGCTCGTATCTTTTCATTCTATATATCTTTAGATTTTTAGGGATTTTTTTTTTTTTTTTATCGGGACAATGGAGGTTAATAAATTGAGCTCTGATGTGAATGCTTCGAGGAAGATAATGGAAGCTGCATTGGTTCAGACCATTCTGGTTGCTGCTCAAATGTCTATTGCTCGCTTTCTAATGCTGGTATATAACTTAGGGGACCGTTGCTCCTGCTCATAAATTTGACATCACAATCTTTAATTTAGGTCAATCCAACGCTAAAAATGTATACCACTAAGATGAGAGTTTGTTATAACCATAAGATATTGAGCATTGGATTGAATTAAATTAAAGGTGACTATTATTTGTTAAATAACTGTGTCAAATTTATTGGTAGAGTAACGGTTCGTATAAATTTTTCCATGAATTAACTGTACGTTTTTTCAATTTTTTTTTTCCGATTTTTTCCCACTAAATTGTGGGTCGTTGATTCTATTTTTCTAGTTGTTTATTTGATTGCTTATAACATTTTCTGTTTTAATTTTTTTATTTAAAGATGAGTGAATTTTAAGTTTATAACTGAAGGGTGCTTGAATCTTTATTTATTATTATTGTTATTATTTTTATTATTTTAATTTTTTGGCTTTGGTATTTTATGGTTATTGAATGTGTTTAAGATTTTCTCAAACGCATGACAATTTACTGCCTTTCTTTTGTCTAGGGGTGTTATATGTAGTGTTTAAAAATACTGCTTATCACTTTACTAGTATGCAAAGCCCTTAAAAATTATGTTGAGACTTCTTTGTGATAACTAGAGATTAGAGTTTATTCCGCTTGGAGAAACGAAAAACCAAAAAATGGAACTCTAAATGAACGTCTGATATTTTATTGTAATTAATGTTTTCATTAGGTTGTTAAGCTGTTTAAACTTTGAAAGGTTATTATTATTAATATTATTGTCATTAGTTTTAGTTTAAATAATTTGAACTTAGGCGTTTAATTGAATTTGAGGGAATAATTGAATTTGTGGTAAAATAAGTTTTCTTGGTTAACGCTGATGTATTTGATTTCATAGTTACAGAAACATATATATTCTGCTGTAATTAGCTAAAATATGATACTCTTTACGGTTTCACTAAATTTCATGGGAGCTCACTGTTCATATGATTACTACCTATTCAGTATAAACTGGTCATGTTTCTGGCACTTAGCCATTTTGTTTCATGCAATTGACCACATGCACTCTAGGTTTGGAGACTGAGAAAAGTTCTATTAGCTAGAAATGGTGAAAATAAAAACATGAACAGGAATGAATGCTTGGGATGGAGATGTATTTTGAAAGTAAAAGATTTTAATGTTGATGGCATGGAATTTTGTATTGACAATTCAGTTGTTTGTTTGTTTGTTTATGCGTGCTTTGCACCATGGAAATCAGTTTTGTTGATTTTGGTCCTTTGGAATCTGTCAAGGCCTATTGCTAATGATGTCCTTTTCGTCCTGTGAGCTGTGTATAAACTTGTCGCATTATGTTTCTTCCCTGTTAAGAGAGAGGTTTTCATGTTACAAGCTTTGTGTGAAGGCAGTATATTGTGCAGTGGATTTATGTTGGCACTGTGGGGGGTTTTGACCTTTTATTGAGGAATTATGTTTTGAATCCTGCCTGCCAACTGCAGCGTGTAATTTGGTGTATTCTGGTTTTTTCCTTTTGTTAATGTGAAACTTTGGTCATGCTTTTTATTTTCAGCTGATGAATCATCAAGTGCTTGTTTGGGAGAAATCGCAGAGAGATAATAATTAGGAGCGATGGTTCCCATGAAATGTTGTGGACAATAAGTGGCAGTATTTGTGCATGTGTGGTTAAATTAATGTTTGACTGTGAATTATAAGGAGATTATAATCTTTTACAAACATGCATTAAGGTCTGGTTTGCATGAATTAGTCGTACACTGAACCTTTATTTGCCATTTGAAGTATCTGGCTGTTATGTTATTCTTAATTCATACTTTTTGTGACGTCATTACTGATTTAATCATATGTGTAGCTTAGAAATTTCTGTGCAGGTTATGCAATTTTGATTTCATGCTAATTCATATCACTCTTATCACATATCAGTAATCTGACCCAAGTAAATGGTTATTGATTGATTTGGATGCATATACTTTGTTTAAGTTTCCTTGACAATGCTATGTTCACAGACGGCATCTCTGCTGGGCGACGTTGATGGGCTGCCAAACTTGGCTGGAAAAAGGTATTTATAGTTTGTCTCTATGCTTCAATGTGCACGAGGAAATTGTGAAATAGGTGAGATTCATAACATGTGCAGGTTTCCCATGGACGAACTTCTTAGAGTGGAAAAGCCTGGGCCAGGGAACAAAGACGGAAGTGATACAGAGGATGAAGAAGAAGAAGAAGAAGAAGAAGATGAAGATGAAGATGAAGATGATGATGATGATCTGGATGATGAGGACTTATCTGGTGAAGAAGGGGGAGATGATGACCAGGATGATGATGAAGTGGATCCCGAGGCTAATGGCAATGAAGGTAGTGATGATGAGGAGGATGATGAAGATGAAGATGAAGATGAAGATGACGGAGATGATGATGAGGACGATGAGGAAGAAGACGAGGATAAGGAGGACTAGGATCAAGCACCAGTGAAGAGGAAGAAATGAAGTAGCAATAGCTGTTTATTCAACTTATTTCTTTAGGTCGAGAAGATTTAATAGGGTGAGGAAGGTTTAGTTGGTCTGTCTTGATAGAATAGGGTATTTGGCCACCCGATTCATGAACTTTTTTTTCATTTGACAGATTTATGTGTTCCCTTTTATGCAATGAATGGGGATTCTTAACAACACTGTGTGGTTTTTATGTGACAGTTGAGCTTAATATAGGATGGTAGCCTATCTACCTTGAGAGTCGATTCTAATACGTCGACTCCGTCACTGGGCTGTAAATTCTTCACTAGCACCATGAGCTTGGTCTCAACTAATAGAGAAGACCCAAGTCGGAGCAAGATAATTACATTTAAGTCTCACAATTGCCACATATTATTTTGGATGTGGACTTTAGCCCCCGTTTGAGTCCATTATTTCTTATTACATTAAATTAAATTAAATTTTTCTCTCTCCTAGCTTTAATCACACAATCTTAAATAAAATAATATTACACGTAAATCAAAAATTTTTCAATCACTCATTTTTCCAAAAAGACATTATTCATTTCATTATAATGCCAAATAATGGGGCTCAAACACACCCTTAACCTATTCAAGATATATAAGGGCAGTAAATGGTCAGCCCAAACATGATTTACCCATTGTCAATGTTATGCACCAAATACACCAATATGGAGATTTATTCATTAACCGTGCTACAGAGCCCGAGTTTAAATCTCGAGCTCCACCTCGGCCGTTGATCTTCTGCACTTGGGTCTTGGGGGGCCCGTCATCAAAATCGGGGGTAGAAGCTCTGCCACCTCTGCCTTTGAAACGGAACCCGGGATTTAATCCCGAGTTCTTCAGCATTTTCCTTTATTCAAAAGTATTATAATATCTCGTATACTGAATTTGTCTCTAGCCCATCAACGATTACAACAAATTCACTTCTTGATTTCAATCCTCCAAGGCTAATAACCTTTGTAAATCGAAATTTACTAGTGAATTTGTTGTGCATGTGTAGTTGGTGTAAGGCCCACAAGAAAAATAATAATTTATAAAATTAATTGATTAATTGGTGAATTAAGTTCACCAGAAGAGGGGGACAAAATGGATCACGTGGAGACGTTGGTATGGTAAGTTGTTTATATATAAATCTCTAAGGGTCTGTTTGATTACAAAGATAAAATTTAGGTGGAAAGAAAATGAATTTTAGGGAATTGAATTACATAGAAATTGTTTTCCTGGGAATTGTAAATTTATTGTGTTTGATTGGTATAATTTTTTACGTGGAAAATGTTAAAATAAAAGTATTTTTTGGTGTTCGTTTGATTTTGTTTTACATGAAAATTATTAATTAAAGGGATAAAATATATACTGATATTGAGGATAGAATTTGTTTCCATCATAAAAAAAAAAAAAAAAAAAAAAAAAAAAAAAAAAAAAACAATAAACAAAAAACAAAAAACCCAAGAAAATCATTTATCTTTTGATGTTCGTTTGACTTTGTTTTACAGGAAAATTGTCAATTAAAGGAAATTTTCTTTTACAATAATTCTTAAAATTCAACCAAAATAAAATAAAATTAAATTAAAAATTGCTACCTAAAAATGAATTCTCACCATATTGGTCATTTTTCCTCAATTAGATGAAAAATATCTATATGGCAACAAAAGCAAGAAAACCAATTTCATAGAAAATAAATGGTATCAAACACCATTAATTGAGTAAAAGATGGAAAACCTATTCCATTTTTCATGAAAAATGACCCAATCAAACACTACCTATGGCAAATTCTCTCGGGATATGTACGATAAATGATTTCTTGTTAACAAATAGTAAGATACATGCATTCGCCATACCAGGCACCAGACCCCACAACACGAAACCCAGCAGTACACTGCTGCTTTACTGTTCTTTAACTCTTTCCTCCAGCTATTCTGTCAACTTTTTTACACATTTTCTGAAGCAAAGCATCACAAATATGGCCCACAGCCAACAAACTTCACATTATTCAATTCTTATGAACCCTAATTCACCAAATCTTGAACCCCTATACCCGCGTCACTGTCAACGTTTGGTTTTAATAAATGGTGATGTTGTAACTTATATTATCTCAAATTGGCCGTTCGTAACTCATTAAACGTCCTTTTATCTTTGTCTTTTTACCATTCTTTCATCTAAATTTGTAAATTTGTATCTTAAATGATTCTGGGCATGTGTTAACAGAGAGAACTTGAGGATTACTACAAGCATTTGAGATGGGTTCTTTGGTATTTCACTTTGTGGTTAGCTTGCTATTTTGCAGCTTCATTTTTGTGTATGCAGAGGATTTGAAGACTGCATATTTAAATGTTGTTAACACTGTATTTATTGATGGGAAGAGTCCCATTGGGAGGACAGACAGTGATTTTATATGTGCAACCATGGACTGGTGGCCGCCGGAGAAGTGTGACTATGGGACTTGTAGCTGGGACCATTCGTCTATGCTTAATTTGGTATACATCTCTCTCCCGAATAATTGCCTTCTTCTTCTATATGTCATGTCTGCGAGTATGTCTTTGTGTATAGATAAATGTTAGCTTAGAAAATGAAACACGCCCCCTGACGTGATCAAAGCCTTATATTACATGTGCATACGTTATTTTGAACGACTTGATCTACAAGTCAGAACGGACGCGTTTATATCGTTTAAATCTTGTCTTTGACAGATTTATGCTGATATTCTTGAATTTTTAATTCATAAATGTTTTCAGGATTTCGGTTTAGTTCTTGGAAGATACTCTGTTTTTCGTTCTTGTTGGTTATTCCTTCATTCTAATGCTTATGGGTGTTTTTCGTCTGTACCTTACGGTAGATTTAAATTACATGGGGGGTTTCTATTAACATGCTAAATATTTGTACTAATTCGTTTGATTCAGTTATTTGGTGTTTGTTTCCTAATTCAGTTGATACAAGCAGGTAATTTATTTACGATTCTCTTTCTTAATGTTGGATTTGTTAACATTAATTTAATAAAAATAGATACATGATATTATATGTTTGATCTTTCTTGTGTCCAGGATCTTAGCAATATTGTTTTCCTGAATGCAATAAAAGGTAAGGATTGTTTCACATATTTACACACTGTTTAATTCGAATTGGGCGGCAGAAGTTTAATTTTTAAGATTTTTAATAACCATGTAGCTTTTTCGCCACTAAAGATCAGATTGGGTGGCACTTTGCAAGATAAAGTAATCTATCAAACTGAAGACCATTTGCAACCCTGCGTTCAATTTGCTAAAAACACGTCGGAGTTGTTTGGTTTCACCGAGGGATGCCTTCCCTTGTCCAGATGGGATGAATTAAATTCCTTCTTTAATAAATCTGGGTAAAAGCATATCATTGTCTAAATTCGAATAGGCAAAGAGACATTGGAACTTACATTCGCCTTTGCGAATTCAATTCAGGGCTTTAATTGTTTTTGGATTAAATGCACTGAATGGAAGATCCATACAGTCGGATAATTCTGCCGTGGGAGCTTGGAGTTCCACAAATGCTGCTTCTCTTATTCGTTACACTGTCAAAAAGGGTTATAGCATTTATGGTTGGGAACTTGGTAAGAATTTTTCTGTTCTACTCTTAACGTAGCATGCCTGTTTCGTGCATGTCACCACGTACTCCTTCAATAGAATCTCTGTGAAAATTGTATGGAAACTGATAATAATCAAACAAACTTTCAGATGTTAAATTTTTTTGCTGATCCCCATTTCTTTGTAGGGAATGAACTGAGTGGAGATGGGGTAGGGGTACGAGTAGCAGCAGATCAATATGCATCGGATACAATCGTCTTGCACGACCTAATACAAGACATTTACAAAGGAGTTGATGTCAAACCGAGAATCATAGCACCAGGAGGATTCTATGAACTGAACTGGTTCAAAAAATTCATAGATAAAGCCGAGGGATCACTGAATGTGGTCACTCATCACATATATAATCTTGGCCCAGGTATTTCAGCTAGCAAACATATGATTTGATTCACCAGTTGATTATAAATGAATACAAATCTTCTCTTCTTCTTTGTAGGAGTCGATGAGCACCTTATCGAAAAGATTCTTGATCCATCTTATCTTGATGGTGAGGCTGATACATTTAGGGGCCTCAAGAACATCCTCAGGAGTTCTGCATCTTCAGCAGTTGCATGGGTTGGTGAGTCGGGAGGGGCTTACAACAGTGGCCGCAATCATGTCACAAATGCATTTGTGTTCAGTTTCTGGTAATACCAATGCTTCCTTCCCATGCAACTTTTACGAGTTTTCAATTCTTATACCTCAAGGATATACTTTTTCGGCACTAAATTACAGGTATCTGGATCAACTCGGGATGTCATCAACTTTTGATACAAAAACATATTGCAGACAAACTTTAATTGGTGGCAACTATGGATTACTTAATACCACGACCTTTGTTCCAAATCCAGATTACTACAGGTTCATTGAGATAAATTGTTCATTGGCCATATTTTTATTTTACCGTGATTCACTCTTGTGCAGCACCTAATACTTCTTTTCTTATTGTAGTGCTCTTCTTTGGCACCGATTAATGGGGAGATCTGTTCTGTCAACAAATTTTTCTGGGACGAAGAAGATTCGTGCTTATGCTCATTGTGCGAAGCAATCCGTAAGTTTGATCAAACCTATTTTATTAAATAATAAATTGTCTTTCTTTGTATAATTGTGAAAGAAACTGTCTAGGTGTCCTAATTGGGACTTCTATCTTGCAGCAAGGTATCACTTTATTGCTGATAAATCTAGATGGCAAAAATACTGTAGATGCAAAAGTCGACTTTAATGGAACTCTATTGCACCGGCACAAGCATGGACATCATGGGCATAGATCGAAAGTGATTAAGATGCCTCGGGCAAATGAAGCTCGCAAAACAAGAGAAGAATACCACCTAACTGCAATGGATGGAAACATACAAAGCCAGACTATGCTGCTGAATGGCAAGGCATTAACCTTAGATTCATCTGGGGCTATACCTCCTTTGGAACCTATTACAGTAACTTCATCTGAACTTGTAAAAGTTGCTCCTTTCTCCATCGTATTTGTTCATATGCCATATGTTGCTCTCCCAGCTTGCAAATAAGTGGAGGAAAACGAGCACTTAAGTCGTCCTGTGTATTTTTTTCACCCCATTTTGGTGGTTGAGCTAATAAGAATTAGCACGTGTGTTTTTATTAGAAATTAAAGAACAAAGTGATTCTATGACTATTACATGTAAAAATGGATGGATGCTAGTTTCTAGAGGGTGAATTGATCACATTTTTAAAGATCACTAGTTACATGGTATACATAAATCTCCTTTGCCTACCTTAGAGATTAAAGAATGGTTTTTGTTGAATACAAAGAAATTACACCGTAAAGGATCACACTAACATTTTCAGATTACAACTGAAAATTGTGCGATCCAAGGAAACGCACACTGATCATCCTTCTCCGCTTCAGGGCTGAACTGATGGTCGACTCCTTCGGCGTATGCACAATGCCTTCTTTCTCGGGCACACACTACCCAAAAGATCAAGGAGAACATTAAAGCAGTAGATGAAGTAATGAAACCATCATAAAACCATTTAGCACGTTTCCTCGAACCTGGACAATTGTGCTCACTTGTATCTGTAAATGTCTCTGTAAGAAAAGTGGTTTATCAACTCCATAACAAATGGCGTCCCTGGGAAATGTGGACCGTGGAGGTCAAAGCCATGCAGATTGAATCACCACAAGACAACAAAAATAGGGTTGCAAGTACGAAACAAGAGAGAAGAAATAGTAAAGGCGTTGATGGGTTTGATCCAAAATAAAACATGATGACACTTGTAGTCTCTACCTATCCATTTATGTCGATTCCAAGTATACATTGTTATCAAAAGAAGGAAGAAAAGATATTGAGCAATGTCTTTATAGGTGGTGAAACTTTTTGGATGTTTTACCATTGTACAAGTAGCTTTATTCATTATATATTGGTGCTGTTTATGGAAAAAAATACTATTATTAGCTCTTTAAGTATCAATTCTACATGATTGAGTTCCTTCTCAAAATTGTGTAGTTGGAAATAAAAGTTAAATAAATAAATTTATTTTTTAACTAATACTTTAGAAGCTACAGCTGTGCAGAGACATAGCAGGGTTGGTTGTCAGATAACAATTGATTTAAATGCGACTGGAGAGGGAGAATTGATAAGTCCAACCGCATTTCTTCAATTTCTTCTAGTTGAAGTTATTAAAATTCAACCACAAGTATTTACTTCATGATGAAGGCTGATAAACCTGGGCAACCACTGCCCTATGTGCCAAACGCTAGCGCATCCAGGCCCACCAACTTATATGTTTGATTCTTCTGCAGTGACTCTATCTCATCCTGCATTACTTATATCCACATTTTGGACGATGTGATTTAACATAATATTAGAAGAAGTTGAGATCATACTTGAAGATTTGTCTTCGACCTGCTTCATAAGTTTTGAAACTCGACCCAACATTCAGTGATAAAAACAGTAAATAGAGATGATCCTTCTTCAATGTTAACATACAAAAACAAACATGCGAGTGTTGGAATGTTATTTTTGGCTATCTGAGACTCCCTCTGCATCGTTAGATCAATAACGGGATTTTTGAGTAACTTGTATGAGTTCCATATAAAAATTATAATGATGAGAACTGTAACGGATACTTTTCTTACTACAACATCTGTTGGTGTAGCAGTATATTAAGGAAAAGTTGAAGTGAAATTAAACTAAAAGTAACTTCTTATTATTAGAGTTCAGTATCACTTTGGATTCAGCGAGATAGTCAGCTATAACTGCAGTTTTATAGTTTTAAGAGAGCCAAATAATTAAAAATTTTAGCATTCAATCGTGTAGCAGTCACAGTGTGATCCAAAGTGGTAAGATCTTAAAGTGATTGGGGGAAAAAGACAAATTCAGATGTCATGAACTATAATATTTCCCTGAAAATAAAGCGTTGTGATAGTTTGCAAAAAGCTATGGGCACCATAATGGTTGAGATGGCTAAAACGTACTAATAATAAGAGGGAAATTGCTCGGAAGGACCTAAGTAATGAGAGGATACGGGAACAACTCCACTTCAAAAATTTTCTTAATGTACTTCGTTGACAGCCAAAAACTTGTAACGCAAAATATTTCATTTTCTACTCTTTGTTCTATCTTTTCCTTGACTGAGATGATTTCAAGGGTTGTGATAATAAGAAAGGTCTTATTAGAATTGACAGTGTGTTATGAACAATGTAATAGTTGAAATGGCTACAAAAGCATAACTGCACAGGTGGCACAATTCAATTGATACAACATACAGCTAATAGTACATGGGAAATAAGCTCAGATCAAAGCTGATAAGAAGAAAATATAGAATTTGCAAATAACCACCATGCATGTCTAAGGAATCGATGTAATTCATAAAGCAAACAATGAGGAAAACCCTATTATTATTTAATAACAATCGAAATGTTTATCTTACTGCTGTAAATTCCTACTATTTTTGGACATATACCCCAACAGATTTTGAGACGTCCTAGCCCAACTACGGAAGTACATCACAATATAAGTAGTGTCACAAAACATTGCATGCACTGCAGGAGCATGAGCCATGAATGGACCCATAGCAAGTACAATTATCACAATCCGTGAAATCAAGTAGCAAAAGTTACTCCTCGCTGTAATTTCTAATCAGCTTGTAGCTTTTCTTGCTAGTCACCCCCTTTGTTTAGCTAGCACAATCCCTGACACCATTAGTATCTTCTTCTTCGTTAAGCACTGACGTCAAAACTGGCCTTGAATATTTGGCTCTTCAAACACATGAATGCTCGACTACTTACTATTGCTGCTGCATTTCGTACTTCCATGAAGTCAACTCAGATGGGATCAAACCTTCATCACAGGAAAGCACAGCCTGGGCCATTAGCTTCCCAAGCCACCCATGGAACAGCAGACCTCTTGCCCCCAACCCTGTAAACAACCAGTACTTACAACCACCATTATTACCACCATGTATCAAGTTATCTATGCAGCCAAGAATTGGAAGCGATCCATCTGCAGTGAGTGGTGGCATCGCCCTTAGTCCTGCCATTGCACCAGTTATTGTCCATTCTTTAATGGGTGGGTACACAGCAGATGCCTTTGGTAGAAGCACTTCCATCGCCTTAGTAGCTTCCTCCACAGAAACGTCCCTTGAATAATTTGTAGACTTCCACTCCCATGTTGAACCCATATGCATACTGCGAGCACCTTGTACAGAAAGCCATGCGTCTGACAAGATTGAAGGGCTATATTTCGGATAATCTTTTCTGCAACAAATATTAAGAGATAAATTATTAAGAACTCTACTCCCTAGATGGAAAAAATAAATATTTGGACAAGAATCTGGAACAATGCCTAGCTGTTCAACATGGAGTCATCACAGAACAATATAAGATGACTAGATGCGCAATTTTCAACTGCGTAAGCACTGAGATGTCAAGAGAAGCTATAGCATCTCATATCGTGTATGTTTGGTAAAGCATTTTGTAGATTATAACATATGGGTCCCACGTAATATATGAATAAAATTAGGGTCCTACGAAATGTATGGATAAAATTTGTAGGTCCTACAAAATGTGCAAATAAAAATGATGTTTGACCAACTTATAAGCTTGAAAAAGCTTTACCAAACATAGTGGTTGGAATTTACAAACAAAATCTATATGCCTATTATTGTTGCAGCGCATAAAATAATATATTATACCGTTCTACATGAAAGCATAGCAACATGAGATTTACCTGAGATCATTAGTAAGCTGCAAGCGAGTAACTAAACCTCTGCACATCCGTAAAGGGAGCCTTCCCGAGAGCTCTGGCAAAAAGGCAGCCCTGGCGCCTAGACAAATAATAATTGCATCGTATTCCCCTGAAAACAAATGCTATTAGTTTTCCTTTCTCAGAATCACGAATCACAAATTATCAAAAAGAAAAAGCACTTGTCAAACAACGAACGGTGAGTTTCATGTTGATTGTGCAAGGCTGAAGGTTGCTAGATATTATGACTGAAATTTCAAGTATAAGGCCAAGGCTTAAAGCTGATGCTTGTCCATCTATGGAGCCTTCTGTCTTAGCTTAAAATTGTTCCTTACATGTTCCATTATGCTTTCGATTGCATGTAGCAAGACCATTTTTAAGATATATATTTGAGTAAGGTGTATCATAAGTAGTTATGTTTATATTTTTGGTAAGATGAATACTTGTAAGCGCGTAAAGAATGTCAAACAACTGAAAAAGATATTTTGCTATTTAATGTATAAAATTTGACTCAAGAGACTTACATTTGAAATATTGCAGAGCAATTCAATTAAAGTTTATTATTTAACTTAATTTAAAATGTTAGTAGTTAAAAGAAATTATTATCTTCATATAACTTTCTAAAATATTTAACATTTGAAACTATTTTTAAATATCTTAAAATTTTAAATTGTTATAATTAATGTGTAAAGGCATAAATAATTGAGGAACTTACTGACCACTTTTAGGAATACAAATAAGTACCAGAAGCACATAATAATGAAATAAAACCCTATGAAGCCAACTTGTTTGCTCAATAATATTTAAAATCAATTTGAGAATTGATTATTTTGATTGAAAATATATATTTTTTTAAAAATGAACTGATTCTGAACCTGCAATATTTTGAATTAAATAAGCAACTTGTTCTTTTAAAATTATGGTCCCCTTCTAGTCAAATAAACCTTTTTACTTGAAAGTAAAGTATTAGAAAAAAAATTCTTATCAGCTCTATCAAATACTAATAAACCCATATGTTTGGCCCCATTTCTTAAAACTCATCTTTCCTCAAACTGATTTTCAACCCCACATTTTGGGATCCAGCATAAAAAAGTCTAAATTTTATCCAAACCAAACATGGGCTAAGTTTGATTTATTAAAAGATTTGACCAAAAAAAAAAAAATTATGAATACAAAATAGCCACTAATCTAGATCGAGATAATTATACCCTGTAGTTAATTTAGTTTATGCATTAAGAGAGCATCAAAAGTAGTTATAGTCCTATCACCTATGATGATTTAATTATCTCCTTGCAGTTTTCAAAAGCTCAGTATCCTTCCTCTTTGAGGAAGGGGGAACTTATTGCAATCAATGCATTTTCTTTAAAACCTAGGTGGTTATATACACAGACTTTACAATTGCAAAAAAAAAAAAAAAACTTCATACTTAACATGTAATTACGCGAACAAAGAAATCATATGGAGGATACCTGATAGTTCTAAGAGGTTCTCAACAGATTTCTTGTGCAAAGACAGTTCTTTCCGTGCAACACCCACCTTGGACATGTCTTCTGCTAGATTTTCACATGCTAGGTACAGTGCCTACATGAATATCACGAGAGGGAAAATAGCAAAAGAAATAATCTGAACAGATATCATTTCAGACATTAAAATCATTAAGCCTTTCTACGAACCTCAAGATAGCATTGAGAATTAATACTCAGGGCTTCAGGCATATAAAATGCCAAGTTTAATGGTACAGAAATATCAGGCACAAGACCCTGAGCAGCATCCTCATGAATGGACTCTATTCTGCAACCGGTAAGGCAGTTCTCAGCATTCTATTCATAGAAAATAAGATGAATTTGCATCAGCAAGAAGTCAAATTGAAACTCCTTGCTTAGTTAGCTAGTAGAAAAGGGCTTACACTACTCATTAGGTCTATATTCTTCGAGCTGAGAGCTGGTCTTAGGATTCCTCTGAAGTAAAAAAGTGGATATCAGAGGGTGTTACTTGTAAAGAAAGAGGAAAAATTACATCGGCATCATAAGATGAACTTCATAATGTATAAGTAATGCTTATAGGTGCTAAATTAAGTTCAGGAAAGAAAAAGAAAAGCATAATATCCCTAAGTCACCCTTTATAGCCGCTAAACTATAACAATATAAACACCCACCATAATGCTATAGATTGGAAACAAAAGTTGTTCACAGAACAAGGTTTATGCTTGGAAATATGTTTATGATTTGCTCCTATTCAGGTCTTCATGCAGCCAATATTGTCTTGGATATGGTAATAAAAAAGTCAATGAGAAATCATTGGAGCGGCTATTTATTAAGCCAGTGAATAATTCTGTATAGGAATATGGATATGTTATGGAACAATTGTAAGAAAGAACAAACCTCCTATTGACGATGGAAGGTTCACTGTTTGGGGGAGAGTCTTGATTTCCCCCGTTTACTAGCTTAAATAGTGCACCCTCAGCAACATTAAGAAGATCTAAACTCTCTTTCCAGCACTCTGCGCCCCGCCAAAGTAGCTTAACTACAAAAATAAACAGTCTCACTCAAAAATAGATCATGTTTTCAAACACTAATACCTCTTGGAAAATTGCAAGTCATCGAAAAGATAGTTGGACAAAAATTGATAGGAAAGATCATAATGGGAACAGGGCTAAAGAGATATGGACCTTTTGGGGAGTATGGATGCAAGAGTCCACCAGCAACTCCAGAGGCACCTCCACCAATGCCGACTTGATCATAAATATCGATGCACACATCCAATTTCTTGGAACTGCACTGCAAGCACAAGTACCCAGTAGTTGGCGAAGGATGGAAGAAAAGAAGAAACCAGCAATCTTGAATTGAGCATTTATACAAACACAATTTAAAGTTAAAGCACGATAATTGCCTAAACTAAATCAAATTCTAATTTAGGTGAAATGGAGAACCATAAAAATTTCTCCAAACAAAATTAAACTTCAATAAGATCAAAGTAACTATAAATAAAAGAAAACTGCATCATAATCATAGTAAGTACACATAAAGCGCCATTTATCAAGTGCATCAAACACATATTATCAAAACAGGCATATCACACTCTTGCGGCACAAATATTCAAACGAACTTCTAATCCTTTAATAAGGCTCACTTGACCACCAATTTCAAGGGTTTATTACCCATTTTCTTGCTCATTAATCCCAAAAACTAAGGATGACAAAAGTAGAATAAAGTGGTTAGTTGACCACCTGTTCCTTGTTTATATATAGGGCATAACCTATAAAAATTAGTAAACAAAATTTACTATATACACAAATCTTATTATTTACTTTTTATTTCATTAGATTATTCTCCTTATGCTTGACTTGAGCATTGGACGGCCATTGCTAGTGCAATCCGGAACACCCTCTACCGCTCATCTATTTTGAAATTATTGCCAAGATAGAGAAGATGATGAATCAATGAAGACATTTACAACCATACACATTATATTCTTTTGATAAGACAAATTTAGACTATGCTGTACATTCTATATGGTATTTGCATGCTCGTGAGCATAGTGGCTCCAAAACTCATAATATTTGGAGCTTTGACTAGAAACTCATACGCCAGAAGATTAGACAAAATATTGAGTTTTGGCTATGACTTGTTTCCGATAAAAACCCTTGCAGAGAAAAAAAAAATAACTAAAAGAATTGATTTCTATATTAATTGAAGACTTCATTTTCTTTTTATATATTCAGGTACTAGAAAACTTCATTTTCAATCACAATTCAAATCAGTTGGTCTAAACAAACATCTCCAAAAATCCAAAGAATGAGAGATTGAGAGAGAGTACATTGAGCAAATGCCAAGCTACAGACAACCCAGCGAAGCCAGCACCAAGAACTGCATACCTACATTTTTGTATACAACAAAAACGATTTAGACCACAACACATACAATTAACTCTACATATATGTTATAGAAATAGGAAGAGAAGAGAAAGGCAGCACCTGATGGGTCGATTCGAGAGAGAAGCGGAAGAATGGCAAGAAACAGGGACCAGCGAAGATGATATATTAGAGTAAAATAAAGGCATGGGTACAGTGATAACTGATGTATCCACCATTGAATTTGACGATGAGTCCCCTTTGCTAGCTTAATTCAATTAAGAGAAAATTGGACTACTCGTCCTCAATCTATTGACGCAAGGGCAATCTCATTCCTTATCTTTTTTTCCAGCATGATCCTAAACTTATAGTATTGACTAATGCTATTTTGGGATGGCAAACAAGTCAAGCGGGGCTTGTGAGTTCGGCTTGTCCCAGCTCTGTCCATAGATGACTCGAGCTCGCTTTAATACGAACTATGGATCAAGTTGAACTTATTTTGTTCACAGACCAAACTTGGTCAACTTGTTAGGTATACGCACCAATTCATTTGAGCTCATGTGCCAACTCATCAGTACAAGCCCATAAACTAGTGTGTTTGGGCTCGTGGACTGACTCATTTTTTATTCCTCATTTTTTGATTTAATTTTATTAATTTCTTTTAAAAATTGCTCCTTTTTATTAATTTAATTTAAAAACAAGATAGCTTGACTTAGCTCGTTTGGACTTGTGGATGGCTTGACTCGTGAGGCCCATAAGCCAGAGAGCCGAGCCAATCATAAGATTCAAACACAAGCCAAGCTCAATTTGCCCATAGGGACGAGTCGAGCTCATGTGTCTACAGCCCACCCCTAATGCTATTTAGCACAATAAAACACCAACCTAATTACTATTACAGAATAATTCCAACTAAATAGATCTCATATTCTTCATCACAAAAATTTGTTAGTATGCAAAAACGGTGTAACACTCCAACCATCTACTCAATCTGTTAGGATGTTACTCTATCATTCATAATTCTTAAGATGATCTACTTTAGTGGCTCAATAAATCCCCACGAATCTACAATTACAAAATGGAGTCGTTTAGACCTTTTTGGGTTTTGTAGGGAGTATTTGAATGGCTTTGCTCTATTAACAAAATAACTTAGCATCCAACCAAACAAATTGATCTGCCTGCTTTTTATTTCAATGTACACCATAAATGACATGCAACTATATTTTTCCGACATTTCATCAATCTTTGTCCACCTGCAACACCAGGTTAAGCATGCATATAAATATCAGGTTATTTGTGGTTCAACATAGACTCAAGATCCCATCATAACATATAAAATTGCAATATTAGCCCAAAATAACCTAATGTATAATCCCAGTGACTGGAACTAATGGTGGGCTAAAGAGAGCGCTGCAAATTGCACTATTACCACTCCATAATACAATTCTCCATGTTATATTCTCAAATGTGACCACAATAGGTTGACAAAATATGCCGTTAGCCTGAAAATTCGTTGTACTTGAAAACACAATCATAAAGCCGCCCCCCAAGGAACTGTGCAACCTCCAGGTGCTTCACCTGTAAAGAGAAGAGAGAGAGAGAGAGAGAGAGAGAGAGAGAGAGGGCAAATGTGAATCTGTTGCTGTGTTGCTTCTTGACATGGTCTCAACAGGCCAAAGAATTATTGACACATACAGGATCAACGGAGAAAACTTATAGATCAAAGTCGAGATACTTGAAGCATCTGATCCAAGTGTTACAAAATCTACATCCCCATGAGCCATGAATGGACCCATAGCAAGTACAATTATCACAATCCGTGAAATCAAGTAGCAAAAGTTACTCCTCGCTGTAATTTCTAATCAGCTTGTAGCTTTTCTTGCTAGTCACCCCCTTTGTTTAGCTAGCACAATCCCTGACACCATTAGTATCTTCTTCTTCGTTAAGCACTGACGTCAAAACTGGCCTTGAATATTTGGCTCTTCAAACACATGAATGCTCGACTACTTACTATTGCTGCTGCATTTCGTACTTCCATGAAGTCAACTCAGATGGGATCAAACCTTCATCACAGGAAAGCACAGCCTGGGCCATTAGCTTCCCAAGCCACCCATGGAACAGCAGACCTCTTGCCCCCAACCCTGTAAACAACCAGTACTTACAACCACCATTATTACCACCATGTATCAAGTTATCTATGCAGCCAAGAATTGGAAGCGATCCATCTGCAGTGAGTGGTGGCATCGCCCTTAGTCCTGCCATTGCACCAGTTATTGTCCATTCTTTAATGGGTGGGTACACAGCAGATGCCTTTGGTAGAAGCACTTCCATCGCCTTAGTAGCTTCCTCCACAGAAACGTCCCTTGAATAATTTGTAGACTTCCACTCCCATGTTGAACCCATATGCATACTGCGAGCACCTTGTACAGAAAGCCATGCGTCTGACAAGATTGAAGGGCTATATTTCGGATAATCTTTTCTGCAACAAATATTAAGAGATAAATTATTAAGAACTCTACTCCCTAGATGGAAAAAATAAATATTTGGACAAGAATCTGGAACAATGCCTAGCTGTTCAACATGGAGTCATCACAGAACAATATAAGATGACTAGATGCGCAATTTTCAACTGCGTAAGCACTGAGATGTCAAGAGAAGCTATAGCATCTCATATCGTGTATGTTTGGTAAAGCATTTTGTAGATTATAACATATGGGTCCCACGTAATATATGAATAAAATTAGGGTCCTACGAAATGTATGGATAAAATTTGTAGGTCCTACAAAATGTGCAAATAAAAATGATGTTTGACCAACTTATAAGCTTGAAAAAGCTTTACCAAACATAGTGGTTGGAATTTACAAACAAAATCTATATGCCTATTATTGTTGCAGCGCATAAAATAATATATTATACCGTTCTACATGAAAGCATAGCAACATGAGATTTACCTGAGATCATTAGTAAGCTGCAAGCGAGTAACTAAACCTCTGCACATCCGTAAAGGGAGCCTTCCCGAGAGCTCTGGCAAAAAGGCAGCCCTGGCGCCTAGACAAATAATAATTGCATCGTATTCCCCTGAAAACAAATGCTATTAGTTTTCCTTTCTCAGAATCACGAATCACAAATTATCAAAAAGAAAAAGCACTTGTCAAACAACGAACGGTGAGTTTCATGTTGATTGTGCAAGGCTGAAGGTTGCTAGATATTATGACTGAAATTTCAAGTATAAGGCCAAGGCTTAAAGCTGATGCTTGTCCATCTATGGAGCCTTCTGTCTTAGCTTAAAATTGTTCCTTACATGTTCCATTATGCTTTCGATTGCATGTAGCAAGACCATTTTTAAGATATATATTTGAGTAAGGTGTATCATAAGTAGTTATGTTTATATTTTTGGTAAGATGAATACTTGTAAGCGCGTAAAGAATGTCAAACAACTGAAAAAGATATTTTGCTATTTAATGTATAAAATTTGACTCAAGAGACTTACATTTGAAATATTGCAGAGCAATTCAATTAAAGTTTATTATTTAACTTAATTTAAAATGTTAGTAGTTAAAAGAAATTATTATCTTCATATAACTTTCTAAAATATTTAACATTTGAAACTATTTTTAAATATCTTAAAATTTTAAATTGTTATAATTAATGTGTAAAGGCATAAATAATTGAGGAACTTACTGACCACTTTTAGGAATACAAATAAGTACCAGAAGCACATAATAATGAAATAAAACCCTATGAAGCCAACTTGTTTGCTCAATAATATTTAAAATCAATTTGAGAATTGATTATTTTGATTGAAAATATATATTTTTTTAAAAATGAACTGATTCTGAACCTGCAATATTTTGAATTAAATAAGCAACTTGTTCTTTTAAAATTATGGTCCCCTTCTAGTCAAATAAACCTTTTTACTTGAAAGTAAAGTATTAGAAAAAAAATTCTTATCAGCTCTATCAAATACTAATAAACCCATATGTTTGGCCCCATTTCTTAAAACTCATCTTTCCTCAAACTGATTTTCAACCCCACATTTTGGGATCCAGCATAAAAAAGTCTAAATTTTATCCAAACCAAACATGGGCTAAGTTTGATTTATTAAAAGATTTGACCAAAAAAAAAAAAATTATGAATACAAAATAGCCACTAATCTAGATCGAGATAATTATACCCTGTAGTTAATTTAGTTTATGCATTAAGAGAGCATCAAAAGTAGTTATAGTCCTATCACCTATGATGATTTAATTATCTCCTTGCAGTTTTCAAAAGCTCAGTATCCTTCCTCTTTGAGGAAGGGGGAACTTATTGCAATCAATGCATTTTCTTTAAAACCTAGGTGGTTATATACACAGACTTTACAATTGCAAAAAAAAAAAAAAAAACTTCATACTTAACATGTAATTACGCGAACAAAGAAATCATATGGAGGATACCTGATAGTTCTAAGAGGTTCTCAACAGATTTCTTGTGCAAAGACAGTTCTTTCCGTGCAACACCCACCTTGGACATGTCTTCTGCTAGATTTTCACATGCTAGGTACAGTGCCTACATGAATATCACGAGAGGGAAAATAGCAAAAGAAATAATCTGAACAGATATCATTTCAGACATTAAAATCATTAAGCCTTTCTACGAACCTCAAGATAGCATTGAGAATTAATACTCAGGGCTTCAGGCATATAAAATGCCAAGTTTAATGGTACAGAAATATCAGGCACAAGACCCTGAGCAGCATCCTCATGAATGGACTCTATTCTGCAACCGGTAAGGCAGTTCTCAGCATTCTATTCATAGAAAATAAGATGAATTTGCATCAGCAAGAAGTCAAATTGAAACTCCTTGCTTAGTTAGCTAGTAGAAAAGGGCTTACACTACTCATTAGGTCTATATTCTTCGAGCTGAGAGCTGGTCTTAGGATTCCTCTGAAGTAAAAAAGTGGATATCAGAGGGTGTTACTTGTAAAGAAAGAGGAAAAATTACATCGGCATCATAAGATGAACTTCATAATGTATAAGTAATGCTTATAGGTGCTAAATTAAGTTCAGGAAAGAAAAAGAAAAGCATAATATCCCTAAGTCACCCTTTATAGCCGCTAAACTATAACAATATAAACACCCACCATAATGCTATAGATTGGAAACAAAAGTTGTTCACAGAACAAGGTTTATGCTTGGAAATATGTTTATGATTTGCTCCTATTCAGGTCTTCATGCAGCCAATATTGTCTTGGATATGGTAATAAAAAAGTCAATGAGAAATCATTGGAGCGGCTATTTATTAAGCCAGTGAATAATTCTGTATAGGAATATGGATATGTTATGGAACAATTGTAAGAAAGAACAAACCTCCTATTGACGATGGAAGGTTCACTGTTTGGGGGAGAGTCTTGATTTCCCCCGTTTACTAGCTTAAATAGTGCACCCTCAGCAACATTAAGAAGATCTAAACTCTCTTTCCAGCACTCTGCGCCCCGCCAAAGTAGCTTAACTACAAAAATAAACAGTCTCACTCAAAAATAGATCATGTTTTCAAACACTAATACCTCTTGGAAAATTGCAAGTCATCGAAAAGATAGTTGGACAAAAATTGATAGGAAAGATCATAATGGGAACAGGGCTAAAGAGATATGGACCTTTTGGGGAGTATGGATGCAAGAGTCCACCAGCAACTCCAGAGGCACCTCCACCAATGCCGACTTGATCATAAATATCGATGCACACATCCAATTTCTTGGAACTGCACTGCAAGCACAAGTACCCAGTAGTTGGCGAAGGATGGAAGAAAAGAAGAAACCAGCAATCTTGAATTGAGCATTTATACAAACACAATTTAAAGTTAAAGCACGATAATTGCCTAAACTAAATCAAATTCTAATTTAGGTGAAATGGAGAACCATAAAAATTTCTCCAAACAAAATTAAACTTCAATAAGATCAAAGTAACTATAAATAAAAGAAAACTGCATCATAATCATAGTAAGTACACATAAAGCGCCATTTATCAAGTGCATCAAACACATATTATCAAAACAGGCATATCACACTCTTGCGGCACAAATATTCAAACGAACTTCTAATCCTTTAATAAGGCTCACTTGACCACCAATTTCAAGGGTTTATTACCCATTTTCTTGCTCATTAATCCCAAAAACTAAGGATGACAAAAGTAGAATAAAGTGGTTAGTTGACCACCTGTTCCTTGTTTATATATAGGGCATAACCTATAAAAATTAGTAAACAAAATTTACTATATACACAAATCTTATTATTTACTTTTTATTTCATTAGATTATTCTCCTTATGCTTGACTTGAGCATTGGACGGCCATTGCTAGTGCAATCCGGAACACCCTCTACCGCTCATCTATTTTGAAATTATTGCCAAGATAGAGAAGATGATGAATCAATGAAGACATTTACAACCATACACATTATATTCTTTTGATAAGACAAATTTAGACTATGCTGTACATTCTATATGGTATTTGCATGCTCGTGAGCATAGTGGCTCCAAAACTCATAATATTTGGAGCTTTGACTAGAAACTCATACGCCAGAAGATTAGACAAAATATTGAGTTTGGGCTATGACTTGTTTCCGATAAAAACCCTTGCAGAGAAAAAAAAAATAACTAAAAGAATTGATTTCTATATTAATTGAAGACTTCATTTTCTTTTTATATATTCAGGTACTAGAAAACTTCATTTTCAATCACAATTCAAATCAGTTGGTCTAAACAAACATCTCCAAAAATCCAAAGAATGAGAGATTGAGAGAGAGTACATTGAGCAAATGCCAAGCTACAGACAACCCAGCGAAGCCAGCACCAAGAACTGCATACCTACATTTTTGTATACAACAAAAACGATTTAGACCACAACACATACAATTAACTCTACATATATGTTATAGAAATAGGAAGAGAAGAGAAAGGCAGCACCTGATGGGTCGATTCGAGAGAGAAGCGGAAGAATGGCAAGAAACAGGGACCAGCGAAGATGATATATTAGAGTAAAATAAAGGCATGGGTACAGTGATAACTGATGTATCCACCATTGAATTTGACGATGAGTCCCCTTTGCTAGCTTAATTCAATTAAGAGAAAATTGGACTACTCGTCCTCAATCTATTGACGCAAGGGCAATCTCATTCCTTATCTTTTTTTCCAGCATGATCCTAAACTTATAGTATTGACTAATGCTATTTTGGGATGGCAAACAAGTCAAGCGGGGCTTGTGAGTTCGGCTTGTCCCAGTTCTGTCCATAGATGACTCGAGCTCGCTTTAATACGAACTATGGATCAAGTTGAACTTATTTTGTTCACAGACCAAACTTGGTCAACTTGTTAGGTATACGCACCAATTCATTTGAGCTCATGTGCCAACTCATCAGTACAAGCCCATAAACTAGTGTGTTTGGGCTCGTGGACTGACTCATTTTTTATTCCTCATTTTTTGATTTAATTTTATTAATTTCTTTTAAAAATTGCTCCTTTTTATTAATTTAATTTAAAAACAAGATAGCTTGACTTAGCTCGTTTGGACTTGTGGATGGCTTGACTCGTGAGGCCCATAAGCCAGAGAGCCGAGCCAATCATAAGATTCAAACACAAGCCAAGCTCAATTTGCCCATAGGGACGAGTCGAGCTCATGTGTCTACAGCCCACCCCTAATGCTATTTAGCACAATAAAACACCAACCTAATTACTATTACAGAATAATTCCAACTAAATAGATCTCATATTCTTCATCACAAAAATTTGTTAGTATGCAAAAACGGTGTAACACTCCAACCATCTACTCAATCTGTTAGGATGTTACTCTATCATTCATAATTCTTAAGATGATCTACTTTAGTGGCTCAATAAATCCCCACGAATCTACAATTACAAAATGGAGTCGTTTAGACCTTTTTGGGTTTTGTAGGGAGTATTTGAATGGCTTTGCTCTATTAACAAAATAACTTAGCATCCAACCAAACAAATTGATCTGCCTGCTTTTTATTTCAATGTACACCATAAATGACATGCAACTATATTTTTCCGACATTTCATCAATCTTTGTCCACCTGCAACACCAGGTTAAGCATGCATATAAATATCAGGTTATTTGTGGTTCAACATAGACTCAAGATCCCATCATAACATATAAAATTGCAATATTAGCCCAAAATAACCTAATGTATAATCCCAGTGACTGGAACTAATGGTGGGCTAAAGAGAGCGCTGCAAATTGCACTATTACCACTCCATAATACAATTCTCCATGTTATATTCTCAAATGTGACCACAATAGGTTGACAAAATATGCCGTTAGCCTGAAAATTCGTTGTACTTGAAAACACAATCATAAAGCCGCCCCCCAAGGAACTGTGCAACCTCCAGGTGCTTCACCTGTAAAGAGATGAGGAAAAATTGATTATTCCATAAACTGACGACACAACAGATGGAGAGGGAGAGGACTTTGATGCTATATTGTATAGTTACCATGCCAATTTTCAGGGAATCACATTTAAACTGAGCATAGAGGTTAGTCTCAATTCCACGGCCCTGCACAAAATTTAAAGAGAATAATTTCAAATGGCGATAAAGTTACCATACCATTATGGAGAGAGAGAGAGAGAGAGGGCAAATGTGAATATGTTGCTGTGTTGCTTCTTGACATGGTCTCAACAGGCCAAAGAATTATTGACACATACAGGATCAACGGAGAAAACTTATAGATCAAAGTCGAGATACTTGAAGCATCTGATCCAAGTGTTACAAAATCTACATCCAAAACAATTTCATATTAAGTGGTTGTAAAGAACATAGCATGCCAACATTTGATCTAAACACCAACATTTTTCCTGTGTTTCTAATCTAACTTCGGTGGTGTTACCTTTGTTTCTAATCTTTGTTCAAAGTGCATTTGTGCTAGGTTATATATACATTAATAATGTCAACTAATTAACTAAATTTTTGAAATGCAAGCAGCGGAGAGGAGAAACTAGAAAGCACTAGCTCGTCTCAGTTGAACATAATGTCTCATGCTTTTTTTATCTCCGTTCATGTGTGTTAGAAATATGGTTTATAGCCTCTCTATCTAAATCACCCAAAAGAAAATAAAAAAGATTGATTTCCACAAATGCCAGTCTTACAACCAAACTCAATTGTCTTTCAAACAAATAATTAATTACACCTATTTCATGAAAATCCTCTCAAAACTAACTCCTGAAGATGCACCATAACCATCTTGCAACATACATTATGTAAAAATAATTTATATACAGAACAATTTTCAAAGTTGGGCAACATATTGAATGCCGAACAAACAGAAATTGTTATTGTAAACACTCATTACAAATTAACAAAAAGAACGTTTTAAGTTACTATCCAATTTCTTTCTTACAAATCTCATACAAATTCAACATGGTATTTACACGCTTTGGTAACATGAGGTAAAAGTTCATTTGTAGAGTTTCAATTAACTATGTGTCCAACAAAATCAAATCTTCACCAACCACCATATCAAGCCGAATTAGTTTTTTTCATCTACCTATCACTCCTTTAGCATATTCTAGTGGTATTGTATTGCTTGTGTACATGGAAGTTTCTTTAAATCTACAGTAGAAATTCTTCATCTGTAGTCACCCGTCTTAATTTATCCTAAATTGGTGGCACTTTCACTTATTGACGTATGTTCTCATTTATTATTTTATTCATTCTATATTATTTTATTCATTCTATTATGGCCACACATTCATCTGGCCTCATTTGTCATATGTTCAGTTTACAAACATTTTGTCTTTGGACAGATAAAAGCTCAATTGCAGAAAGCACAATTGGTAGTAAAAAACTCGTCTAACTTTATTATTTTATCATTATTATTATTTTTTTTTTTTAAAACTCGGTAGGTGTGTTTAATCACATAAACATAATACTTATCCATTTTGTTGAATTTTTTCTAACTTTTTGCAATACATTCTCTTCAAAAATATTAACCCAGATACACAAAAGAATAACTCCATAGGATAGCTGAATCCTTATTGTGAATACTATCATCATTTCTCTACAATGACTAAAAGGACATTCTATACATTTGTCTTTGTTTTTAGTTAATCTTAAACCTTCAGATTTCAAAGCCCTCTTTGGAAGTTCTTAGAATCCACCCCTTTCCTAATACACTATTAACTAAAACCATGTCAAGATCGAAGAAATATACACCAGAGGACCTCATGTTAGATATTCCCTGAGTTCATCCATGAATAAAGCATGTTTAAGTACTCATTGGCCATGGTCACAACCTTGACCTCTAGTCTAGATCTCACATTCATAATTGCTCCATTAGAAACATAATAGCATGAATATATATGTGCAGAAATTCATTTTTCCTCTGGCATTCGCCATAAAACTTCATTGGGCACTCAATAATATGATTTTCTAACCCATAAACATCATATTAAATCTTAATTTTCTTCTCCACACTTTTCCATCAATAGCCTACCTTTATTTTTTATAAATAGACAAAATTACATGCATTTGGAAAAGCGCGTCAGGAGCTGAAAGCATTGTTTTGGCTTCACAATGGCATTGAGCATGAAGCTGCTCATTAAAGATTAATGTACATTGAACCTTAGAATCACAATCCTTGGGACAATTACATTTGACGTCTACAAGGAGGATTTTATTTTGACTAGAGACTCAACAAATCCATGATTCCCAAAAATGGATATTTCCCATTACTATCCTAATTGTAGAACATCTGAGCTAGTAATACATAACAGCTCTTTCTCTTCAAGTTGATCATCACTCAACTCGATTAAATGACAATGACTATTACTTTTCTATTATTTCCCGACATGTAGCAATAAGGCGAATATTCGCCATAAAAAAAATAAAATAAGTAAATAAATAAATATGAAACAATTCTTTCAAAGAAACAAACTCAAGAAGAAAATAATGGAAGTTCAAAGCCATATATGTTTTACAACTGTACAGGAGAATTCTCATATAAAGCACTCACCATTCCCTCCATAATCACTAAGTCAGCATCACTTGCCAAGTAGGCAAGTTCTTGCGATATTCTTGTAAGATCAATGACCTGTAATAAAATATAAGACCACAATAAAGACAGTTTAAAAATCTAAATGAACATGTATTTCAAAATTGTAGAGAGAGGTCACATACAATAAAGGAGATTTTCTACTTACCGGCAAATCATTACCCGAGTTGGCGATGAAAAGATTTGAAGTATCAACCCCCACAAGTTTCCCATTCTCATCCTTTAACTGTAGAATAAAAATTGTAAGTGCCAGAGCCAACCTAGATTTTGAATTACCACAGTACCAATACATAAGCTTCCCACTACCTTCGTGATAATATTAACTAGTTCAGGGTAAGTTACGTCATTGATAGAAGGCAAATCATTTGCTGCCAATACTACCTGCCAAGAAAGAAATGTGTATAAATTAACTACAAACAGATAACTGGAAGATCCAGATATAGAGCAACACAACCGCAGCTAGATGTAATGTTAAATTACATCTTAGGATAAGCTTGGATATCAGACTTCCTGCATTGTCATATATCAATTTTGACTCTCAAATCAATTTCATTTATTGAGTAGTATTTTACCTTTCTGTTCACCTCGTTTTAAATTATTGATGAACTCTTGAGTATGATCCATACATTTAACCTCAAGATGTCCTACTCTTTCTACTATTTAGAGTTGATTAAAAACAAGAGAGCTCAGTATGCTGCTTGTCTTCTCCACATGGATTATGAAGCTGTTCTACTCGATGATGAAATAAGTCTCGTCAACCGTACGAGTTTTCATTGGGGATGGCCATAGCAGCTATAAGCTGGTCTCTTTATAACGTGATCCTGACTTCACCATTCAATTGACATTCAAAAACCTCAAAAAAAAATGGCCATAGCAGCTATAAGCTGGTCTCTTTATAACGTGATCCTGACTTCACCATTCAATTGACATTGACCAAAAAAAAAAAAAAAAAAAAAAGGGTCAAGGAGGACATAGGGAAGAGGACCTATGATGGTAAATGTGAATTTGCATGCTTGGACCCTTGAACGGTGTCATCTAAAGTTTAAGCTTTTAGAGAGAAAATGAATTTATTTACTTTAAATTAGCATTTAACATTTTTCCTCACATGTAGGTGGTTCGGATCATTGAACTTCAGAATTGGACTTCCCTCTAGAGGAAAAAAACTAAAAGAAATCTGTGCCTTATGCATGCACATTTGCGTGGTTCATATTAGTTTCAAACTTGAAATCATGGGAAGCTGATTTTCCCAACAGCCCAGATCAACTGTAATGAGGGATTTTCTCATTACATTTGATAAATTTAACATTCGTCTCTAGTCACATAATCACAATAAGGAACTACATACAAAATAAACAAATTCAACTCATATCGAAAAGATTGGTACAGCCAACGTCAATTAAAAACTCATCCACATGTCATGTACATATAAAAAACATCAAGTACAGAACTGTTGGTTGTAATGCATTCTGAGCAAATTGTATTTTCTCTTGCTTCATAACATACGTAAAACACAAGCTTCAGCAAAAAAATTGTTCTATGGGCAGTATAACGAATAACAAGCTTCTCAAATCATACCTGTACACCAAGTCGAAGTAACTCTCTAGCAAATGGCAATATACCCAAAATAATATCTGCACCAGAATTATCTACAAAAATTACAGCCTGCATTACGGATGAGCAAGTTACTGAAGGCCTGAGCAAATTGTATTTTCTCTTGCTTCATAACATACGTAAAACACAAGCTTCAGCAAAAAAATTGTTCTATGGGCAGTATAACGAATAACAAGCTTCTCAAATCATACCTGTACACCAAGTCGAAGTAACTCTCTAGCAAATGGCAATATACCCAAAATAATATCTGCACCAGAATTATCTACAAAAATTACAGCCTGCATTACGGATGAGCAAGTTACTGAAGGCAACATGTGTCATAGATTAATGTACAAAAGAAAATAATTGACAAGACAATTATCATGAGACATTAATTAAAACTCATATAGTCATGTGTAAACTCACTTTTTTCCATAATTTTCTGCCCCACTTAGATATGAAATTGTCAAGATCATCAATAACCCAGGGTCGAGGGACAAGGTTTTGACAGCTAGCTTGAAAGGACATGCCATCTTTTGCAAATAGCTCTGCAAGCTTCAAGATACGTTGAAAAAGAAAGTTGATGTCAATCAAGATTCACAGAGAGCTATTTAAACCTAACATATATCCGTGTTCTCTGAATAATTGATGAATATTTCATATCAGCACCAAAAATGGGTTGGAAAACTTCATAGAATGTTCACAGATAAAGATACATCAGGCTTCATTAATAGTAATCAACATGATTAGTTTTGTTGCAGGATGGCATTCAAGAGTTAGATTTTGGTGAAATGGCTATGAGTTGTGTAGTTCCCCGGTCGTATTACTTTGTGTAACATCACAAAAGTACAACATGAGACTGAAATTTTTAAAGATCGGTAACGTGATATTAACAGAATTGCCTTGGCTTGTAGTCGTTGAAGAGCGGCGAGGTGTCAGAAACTTTCAGCTTCAACAACGGAAATTATGAAAATTAGGGGCTAGAGACAACAAACAGGCTTATCTGACTAAAGAAAGATGAGAACATCAGGGTAATCCAAGGCCAAAAATTCCAACACATAAGAGTATAGACCCCAAAAGAGGGGGGGGGGGGGGGGGGGCGGGGGG